AAAGAAAAGAAAACAAAGGTGGGAGAGAAGGGGTAATTAAGATCACCCCTCCGAACGCAAGCTATTGGAAAAGGTAACTCCCCGCAACAAGCAAACAGAAAAGAAAGAAAAGGAAAACAGACAGTAAGATAGAAGGCTGTACAGAAGCAACTCACAAAGAAACCTGAAGTACAGGGGGGAGGGGAGAAAGAGGAGAGAAAACAGAATAAAAATGCTACAAAAATGCAAGAAAAGAATAAGAAAGTGAGATAAATATAAGCTAGACACCTTTAGACAGGTCAGAAAAGAAAAGAGATAGAAAGCCGGGGAGTCTTACGCTCAGCTCCAAGTGAGCCTGGTCCGGTGCGTCCAAAGCGGAAGGAAGGAAGGAAGGAAGATGTCTAAATGAAAACGATGTCTAAGTGAAAACAATGGTGTTGCACACAGAAACAGGAAGCTGGATTTACTGTATTGTATAACTTATACCTGAACACTAGTCAGAGTGACAATGAGATAAGGAAGTGATGAGACAGATTTGGGGAAATAGTCACAAAAAGTTGTTTTTCAAAAATAAATAAAAATTGCCTATTTATTGTAGTTTTTCTGAGGAAGATGGTATCCATTGTCATATTCTATATGGGTAAGGAATACAATTCTAGTGAGAAAATGAAAAAAAACCAAACCTCTTACTTATTCAAAGAACTTGCATGGTCCTACTATGACTGTGCTGATAAAAGTGTGACATTATTACCAATATCATGTTACTGACCATATTTGTAAGTGTAATCCCAGCAATTAATGTGCAAAAATGCACACACAATTGTACAATGCAGCTGCAGTTTTGTTTTCTCCTCCCTGGGGATGGCTGACCTCAAATCTCTCTCCAAATTAAGACTCTCATAGTGGTTATCAGAAGAGCACATTCAGCTTTTATGAAGCTTTTATTTTGGTATCTCATTCCCAACTAGTGGTTAGTAGGGGTGTGTGAAACAAGGCCTATTCAATTCAGATTCAGCTCAAAATTGGGGACAGTGATTCAATTAATTGATTTGGATCACTGTCCCCAATTCAATTTGGCTGAATCCAGATCTGAAGATTCGATGCTGATTCAGAGAATCAGCAATTCGGACATACACACAGCTCTAGCAGGGAGTGCACTCAGGCCCCTACCCCCCGCTCCCCTGGCTCGGTGATTGGCCATGGGGGGACCCCGGGTGACCCCAGATCCAGGAGGCACCAGTCGCTGAGCCAGGGGGGCACAGGGGCCCCCCAGCACACTCTCCAGTGGACCTGGAAGTGGACCAGAAGTGCTTCTGGCCACTTCTAGGTCTGGTACCAAGTGCACTGGGAAACCCCCTGCACTTCTGTGGGATACTCCATACACCCCACCATCACAGCATTCACAAATCACCTGCTACCTAGAGGTATGTAGAAAAAACATTTAAAGCTGGATCTATGTCTGAATCGCCAACTCTTTCTGAATCGATTCAGAAGCTCCGATTTGATTTAGACAGATTAAAGGGTCCTCTGACTCAATTCAGATTCAGAGATTCAGCCACCGAATTGGACCAAATCTCCACCAAATTGAATCAGGGACCGAAGCTTCACACAGCCCTAGTGGTCATGATGTTTACAATTTTCTCAGGCAACCATAGCTAAACAACATAATGTAAGGGACAAATCTCATTAGCTCCACAGTTCAATTTGTCACAAACCTTCTAGTTATTCCATTATATTTTTCTAAGTTACAGATTGTAGCTGCAATTCATTACGACTCAACATTATAAAGTCTGATTAAGATTCTTTTTTGACAGATGAAATTCCACCAATATATATTTTATAGTAAATAAAGATTTATTTTCCTTTCATAACATGAAAATAAAACATTTGTTGTGGAATCAGAGGAGTCCTATTACAGATAGAAATAATTAAACCTTGGGACTTTGATGGAGCACTATTTAAATAGGGTGAGGGATGTGAAAAGTAGCATTTCTAAAAAACAAACAAACAGAAGAAAAAAATATTGTACCACTGTTTACGGGAGAATAATAAACATTGTTAACACTTACTGAACTAATATTCTGCTGATTTTTCTTCACTCGTTCAATCTCTGGAGTCTCTTTTACTGCAGTTCCAGCACCTACTTCCTCCTTATAAAACACCTTCACCATACAAAAAGAAATAATAATTATGATTCTGTTAGGAACGCAAGCACCAAGTCTCACAAAGACAGTCGCACAATTCTCCGACTTCTAAACTGGTCTGACTGCAAGTCTGATTAGCAAAGTTAATATTTTAAATTTTTCATAAATCAGCTCAATCATAAATAATATAATTAAAAGTTCACTGACTTTCTAAATACTTTTACACATCCACACTATCCCAGGTAGTCTGTCATCAACCTCTAGATTGATATAAACTTTTTGCAGGTTTATTTAACAATAGCAGCAGCAGCAACAACAATGATGATAACAATTCTAAACGTAAGAAGAATAATAACGTTTCTGACCAGAACTTACAAATGTTTATATATGTAACTTTAGGCTCAGGCAACTTCCTTGACTTCAGTGTGATTACTCATTTGTATAAACATATGCAAGATCAAAGGCCTATACTGCTTTTTCATTCCTAGATCCCTAAGCACACTGGAAAAGATGAACAAATACTACTATTTTCCAATTAGGAAATATTTATTATTTAATAACTGATACAATATTTATTAAATGATTGGCAATTAGAATTCAAATTACTTGACTCCCAGTCCCACATTCTGACCACAGAATTCAATGATAAAAAATAAGGATAACAGGGACCTTGACAAACCATCTAGCCAATCCTTCTGAAGGGAAAACAGGATACTTACACCCTTCCTGATCAATATTGATCTAACCTGCTCTGAAAACCAAACAATCATGGACATCCTATGTTACAAATAAAGGCAGAGCTCTCTTCTGCAAAGTTGCATGTGTTATTTGTAATATCTTTCTATGTTTCAAGAACTTCATTAAGGACAAAACATAAGTTGCATCAATACACCTGTAACTCAAAGTTACTGAAGTATTAGTCAACACAATTATTCAACAAAGCTCCAAAGCTGAAATAATATGAATATTCGTGAGACAGGACCACAGATTGCATATTTTGAGGAATTTTTATTTGAAAGAAAAAATGTCCAGAATGTTAATGTTCTATGCCAATAATGTTGCCATTCCATCTAGTGTTTTAGGTATATAATTAAATACCAAGTCTCACTCATAATTTCATAGAATGAAGTTTGAAGTTACATTTTGAATTAAAATGTATTAACTCTGGTTTTGGTTAATAAACATCATAGACACGGATTCATTTTTGCTGGGGGATGGGGAAGCCTAAGATGATGGACATGTGACAGCTCTCTTCTAGGGTGACCATCTTTTCAAAATGGAATGGCGGGACACATGCCCAGCTTCCCCCACCCTACCCTACCTGGCAGCATGGCTTGAACTTGAATGGAGCTAAGTGGATGCAGGCTGCTGCACTGCCACAGCAAGGCACACCCTGCCCACCCAGCAGCACCAGTGAGCAAACTCAGGGCCAGAGCTGCCGCCACACCCACTGCTGCTGGAGGGCAGCAGGTTTTACACCACGGCAACACGGCTAGCTTGGGGCTTCTGGGGGAGGACAGCAAGGTGGGGAGTCCCAAGGCCACAGCAGGCATGCCACATCCACCCCCCACCCTGCACCCAAATGTGGGAGGCACGTGCCCCTCCATGTCCTCCTCCATAGGAGCGAACGCAGCAGCAGGGAGCCAGCCCCCACTACCGCCTAGATGAGTTGCCCGTGGCATTGTCTTACTTCCCACTTTGGCCCCAGGCCCCACGTACCACCTTGGATGGGCAGCACCCCCAAGCCCAGTCCCTGCCACACTCCCTCCCTCACCATGGGGGCTTCAATCTGCTACCCCACCATTAGGACTTACTTGCAGACAGCTTGGGGGAGCTGCTTTCCTCCATTACCTGGGGCTGTATTCCTGGCCACTTGCATGTGTGTGTGTGCACATATACATGATGCCCCCTGCATTCCACTCCCCACACCCCTTACAGGCTGGAACTCTGTCATCCTACAAGAGGAACTCTGTCATGTCTTGCATTTTTCCATGATGAACGGTAAACCCAGATCCCTTCCCAATACTGGAAATCCAGGAAAAATGCTGTTCCAGAGTCATGCAGCTCAGGACCATGACCTGATGTTCCCATTTTGGGACTGTCCTGCCCAATTAGGGACAGGTAGTCACCCTCCCCTCTTCTCAAAGGGGGGCAAAACTCTCGGGCTCCCACATACTCAGTGCCTATGATAAACATAAACAATGAAGTACACATTTGAAACTGATAGACAACCTGTTACACTTTTCAAGAAAAAAAAGAAATGCATAAGAGGCCCTTGATCTGTCAGTATCCTGTTTCTGACAGTGACCAATATCAGATGTTTCAATGAGGTTATTCCAAATGGCGCCTCAAGCACATTTGAGACTCAATAGCAGGTACAGAGGGACCGCCGGGAGTGTTTTCCCTGGTATATTTCTGGGTTTAGAACATGATCCTGACTGCAGGTGGGTGGGGCAGGCTCAGAAATATTTGGGATACACCACTGCCACAATGCAGACATTGTGTTCCTTCTTGAGATAGGGTGGCCAATACTACATAATACTGATGTAGGTGAATAATTTAAATATACAGATTGTTTTTAATGTAACAGTATCTTTAAATATATGGCATTTTGAATTTTAAGTGTTTTGTACACATTTGTTAAAATGAGTTATATCCTATAAAATGTTACATCCTGACCTGAACTAAAACATATTTCCTTTCTTCGTCAAGGAGTGCAAAACATGTTGGATTAGGGAGTTTTCTACAGAAGAGATGACTGTGCAGTTATGAGCCTACTACCAAATGCTCAACACGAGGCTTAGAGCCAATTACACTACAACAGCATTCCCAGCTGGCAAGCTAAAAACAGCACTGATTTTACCTGAAGAGCTAGCTGCTTGTTTGTCCCCTTAACCTAGAGAAGGAACCTCACATTTTCAACCCTAACAATGTCTAAGTATCAGAACAAAAAGAGGAATATATAAAAGGACAGTCAAACAGTCTCTCAATTTACCTCTGTTGCGATTGCTGCCAGTAACTCTTCCAGCTATTAAGCACTAGACTGCTTAATAATTATTAACCCAATTTACATATAGTATTAAAACGTCGGAGTGTAGAGAAAATGAACTGGTAGCATAATCATCATTACTCTCAACTATGGACTGATTTCACACAAGTAGAGGAAAAGGATGGAGGCTAGAGCTCTTGCCTCAAAATAAAATGTTTTTCTTTTTGTGGATATATTAGGTAAATATATAAGGACATTTTTCAAAGCTATGGTACAGAAAGCTTAAACTGGCCCTGATAACTGGGGAATTCTTCAGGTTTCAGACCCTGAAGAAATGGCAAAGATCATACAAGCTTTGGTGGTTTGCAGCTGATTCCTTACTGGCAGGGAATTTGAACACTAACAAAATTCTATACCACAAATCTATCTGTGATATCCTCAGCTTCTAGAGAAAAGTTAGATTAGGACATAGAACAAATCTAGCCCACATTGCTATTTATTACCTCCTGTGTTTGCAAGTTGCAGTAGTGTGAAATGCCTCCATAACGTACAACATAGCAGCATTCAAAAAAGAGGCAGCAAGTGGCAGGAGGGAGCAAACATAGCACTCCATGAACTGAATATAGTGTATAGGGTAGCAAAAGATACCAGCTTTACCAGCTCCTTTATCTCAAAGATTATTGGCTTTTCCTGGGCTAATTTCTAGGAAATTCTTCATTAAAGGCTTTATTAATCTTTGCTGTGTAATCTACTGGTACACACAAATAGGTTTTCACTAATCATCTTTTCTTCTAGGAAAACCTCATTAAAGGTACACAAAGTGCTACATTCAGAAAAATTAAATCAACATGAAAAAGTGAAAAGGATTAAATACAAAGATAACAAAATGGAGCATTTAAACCCATTTGTATATGGTTTTTATTCAGTGACATACTGAAACTTAAATCTAGCATAAAAGGTGAAAAAGCATTCAATGCCCAATGTAGCATAAAACCATTGGCCTGATATACTTTAAGACAAAGTATACTACAAATAGTTTCATTTTAATTCTATGCTACAATCATATGATAAACCATGTATTTACCATAGTACAATCCTCAGTGTCTGCTCCTTTTTTATACAGAGCAAGTCCATCTACACATGCAATTAACACAACACAAATTCTGGAGTCATCTGAGCTGGAGGAAACTGCTCTTGGGTAAAACATCAACATATGCACTCAGGAAAGCAGCAATTTGAGCCAGGGCAGAGCAGCAGGGGACACAAAGCATTGGCCCTGGGCTCCAGGTGGCAGCACTGGGTGGCAGAGGGGCTGGATGGGGCACAAGGGTGCTGAGAGTGCTGAACCATGTGGCTAGGCAGCAGGCAGCCCCCACACTTTAACACCCTTGTGCAGCCAGCCAGGCCTTGTCACCATCTACACATACATTTCAGCACAGTTACTTACTCCATCGTAAGATAGCACTTTCCCTGATA